TAGTTTATCTTTTAGGAAATATATATACTTACTAATTATAAAAATGCTAGTTTATTATAATATTATAAGTTTAGCTATATATACTAAATTTATAATATATTATAAGAAAGGGAAATAAAGCTTAAAAAAACAATTATATTATATAGATTAAATAAAGGCTTTTAATTAATCTATTTACTTTATTAACTATTAAACTATTTAGCTATTAAAGGTATAGTAATAGTATATATATATTCTTTTCTTATAAACCTTTATATACTATAGTGTGCTATAGTATATTATAGTTTATTATTAAAAGGTATATACTGCAGTATATAACTATATATATTATCCTAATAGTAAGTTTAATAAGTAAAGTTACTATATTACCTTTATAATTCTAACCTTTACTATAAGAGCTAGCTTTTTATAAGAGTTTTATATTAAAAATAAGTATAGTATTTAGTAAGACTTTAAAAAAGAGAGTAAGTATAATATAGCTTCTTAACTCTAACTACTTTATAAACCTACTACTAGACCTTTTATTAAAAACATACCCTGCCTTATAAGTACCTTACCTTACCTTATACTTAGAGAGAGTAGATTAATATTAAAATAGAAATACTGCTTTTTATAATATTAAGGCTATAATTTAACTTATTTAACTTCTTAGTAAGCTAGCTAAATAGGATATATTATATTAGTTAAATTTATAAATTAGCTAATTTTATATTTTAAAAACCCTAGTAATAAGGCTAAACTAGAACTAAATAACACTCTCTTACTACTTTTAGGCTAATTTTAACTTTATTTAATACTTTATCTCTCTTCTAGTTTAATAATACTTTAATTTATATAGTATTATAACTGTTTTTTAAGTTATTATAAGCTAATTATTAATTATCTTATTATTTTAAATTAGCTAATCCTCTTATATAGTTATTAAGTAATTAAATAAGCAGACCTTTTACTTCCTCTTATTACTTTTTAAAAAATAGCAGTAAGGCTTAATAAATTTATTAAAAAAAGTATACTTATAAGAGGGTTTATTAAGCCTCTTTTTATAGCTAGTCTAGTGCTTTTTTAAGTATGCTTAAAAGCTTAAGCAGCTAAAGAATAAGTATTAATATTTAAAGAAATATTAATAGGTTTTTTTAATAGCTAAAAAGATATTAAGTATATTTTATAACTTAAAGACTAAAAGACTATTAATAAGCTAGTAAAATACTAACCTTATTACTTAATAGTATAGTTAGATTAAGCGCTAGGTTATTAATAAAGGTTTTTTTATTAATAATAATATTAATATTAAGTTATAATAAAAGATATTCTTAAATAACTTACTTATTAATAAGTATATTATAAATATAATTAATAATCTAGCCTTTATAAAAAATAGCTAACTAGCTAGTTTAAAAGGTATTATTAATTATTAAAAGGATTATAAAGTTAAAGAGATAGATTTAACTTAGCTTAATACTATTACTAATAAACTTAGTGACTTTACTTTAATACTAGGTAATAGTAATAATAATAATAAAGCTAACTAGCTAATAATATTACTAATACTAGTATTATTACTACTTTTATTAATACTATAAGTAATTTTAGCTAGTTTATTATAGCTATTATTATTAATACTATTAGTAGTAGTTTAGGCTAATAGCCTTATAGCTAAAAAGAAGAAAAAAGCAGTAGCTATAATTAGAATAGTTAATAGCTTTTATAAACTTATAAGTATACTTATAGTATATAATATATAGTAATAGTAATAGCAGTAGTTAATAAAGTATTATATTATTTATAATTAACAGGCTATTAAAGCAGAAGACTTTAAAAAGGTAATAAAAAATTACTTCTTTTTTATAAAGGAATAAAGTATAGCTTTTATTAGCTATTTAATTTAGTAAATTTATAAAAATCTACTAAATTTATTAATATAAAACTTAGTATTATTAAAAGAGGTAAAAAATATATAATTAGTATAAGAATAAGCTTCCTAGGCTTATTCTAGTATAAAAATTATACTATAGTAATAAGTATAATAGCTGCTATAAGCTTATTATAAGCTCTTATAAAATTAAGCTTAAGAAATAAAATTCTAAAATTAAGCCTTTTTTAGCTAATTAAGAGCTAGTATTTAAAATTAATATTACTTAATTAGGTAATAGCTCCTTCTTATTTAGGTAAGTGATTAGTATAATAAAGTCCCCCTCTTGCTAAATTAGTAAAAAATAGTAAATTAAATAAATTTAAAGAAAAGTTATAAAACACCTATAAGGTATTATAACTATATACTTATAAGGTATAATAATATAAGCATAATTTAGCTAATTAAGAATTAAACTAGTCTTAATTAAGAAGGTAATCTTAAATAACCTAAATTAATTAAGATTATATAAAAATAAAAATAAAATCCTAATATAAAAATATAATCTTAAAATTAAGTATTAATTTTAAATTAATTTATTAATTTTAAAGTAAACTATAAGTTATATAATCTTATATTATATATTATTAAATAAAGCTTTTCTTTAGCTTTTTAATAGTATAAAAAATATATATTACTTTAACTATTTAGCTAAGAATTTATTTATAAAAGAATAAGGAATTATTTAGTATAAGTTTAAATTTCTTTTATACTAGCTTTTTATAACCTTTTATAATATATACTTATTATTAAGCTTATTATTTACCTTATACTTTATCTCTTATCTTTTACACTAGACTAGAAGTAGTAATAATTATATTATTTATTTAATATAATTATCTTACCTTCTTATAATTAGTAATTAATTTCCTTTTAAATTTATAGCTTTTTTATATTAAGTTATAAATAGCTTTAAAAATATAAAGCCTAGTAAAAGGATTATTAATTTCCTACTTTATTATATTTACTTAGCCTTAAATTTCTACTTTATAATACTAAATCTAGCCTTAAATACTTACCTTAACCTTTTCTTTATTATCTTTATTATTATTATCTTCTTTATTCTTATTACTGCTATTAACACTACTACTATTACTACTATTATTACTATTACTATTATTACTATTATTATTATTATTATTATTATTATTATTATTATTATTATTATTATTATTATTATTATTATTATTAAAGTTAGTATTATTATTACTATATTTTAAATATTATTAATAATATCTCTAGGCTTATAAAGTAATATATTCTTTTAAATCCTCTATGTTTAATAATAAGATAATAGCCTTAATATATTCTTAAGTAGATTTTATAATATTATACTTATAATTAGTTAGGATAAGTTACTCCTCCTTATAATACTACTTTAGTATTCTTCTTTTAAGCTTAATAAAGTTAAATAAACTAATAACTATATATATAATTTAAACCTAGTCTTAAAATATATACTTAATAGCACTATAGTATATAATCTTTTACTTTTATTTATATTTATTAAAGACTTACTTAATAATAGCCCTCTTTTAAGCATATTATAAGTTAAAAAGCTCTTTTTTATTTTAAAGGCATTATACTACTATTCCTTAGTCTTATAAATAATAATATATATTATTTTTATAAAAAGTTATTATACTAAGCTATAGCTTAAAGCTAGTATTATTTAAATAATATTATATAAAAGGTATTATAAATAACTATATTAATATATATTATAAAAAAGCTAAGTTATTAATAAATCCTTTAATATTAGTAAAAATATAGCTAAATAAGCTATTAAAGGTAATAGCTATAAATATATTTTATAATATATTACTCTTTTTTAACTAAAATTTTTATTAATATATAAAAGGAATATAAGCTAAAATAAGTATATTATTAATAGCCTTAATTATACTATTAAAGGCTAAAAACTTAAGCTTTAACTTTATAGCTAGTAAGAGATATATTAAATCTAGCTACTAAATAAAATATATATATAGTTATTATATAAGTTCTTTTAGTTTATAAAAAACTTATAATACTATACTTTAGCTTATTTAAAAGCATAATACTATATTCTTTTATAACTTACTATATATATAAATTTATAAAAATATTATTACCTTTTACTTAATTAACTACTATTAGTTCTTACTTATACTAGTATTAATATAAAGCTATTAGTAAAGGTTAAAAAACACACCCTTTTTTATATAAAAAAGGGTAATAAATAACCTATTTAATAAGGCTAAGAGCTGTTTATAATATTACCTTAAGGCTATAAAGATACTTTAAAAAAGAGTGCTAGTATTATTAATACTAGCCAGCCTCTCTTAATTAATAGCAGGAAAGATCTTAAGTAAGTTATTAATAAGCTTAATTATTAAGGTAATATATATTAATATAAAAATAGCTATATAAAGGTCCTCCTTAGCCTTATAGCAGTTATTAATAACTATATTTAATACTAGCTAGTTAATTTTAATAATATTACTTATAATTAAATTTATAATATTATAATAACCTAGCTAAATTTTAATAAACTAGTAAGATAGTATATATATTTTATAATATAAGTATAAATAGTTTTAATTTATACTTATTATTTATTAAATTTAGTAGAATTCTTATATTTTCTTAGTAATTATGCCTTTTATAATAATATATACAGCCTCTACTAGTATAGTATATTAATAACAGAGGGTACTTAGGGATTATCCTTAATAAAGTATTTTTTCCTTTAATTATGCTATAAATCCCTACTAATTTAAGAATAGTAATATTTTTATATATCTTATCTAATCTGCTAAATAGCAGTTAGACAAGTTAAATCACGGCCCGATTAGAAGTAGGTATCTAGGTCGAGATATTCCTATACATTCTCGCTTTTGGCCTTTAAAACGGCTACTGAATTCAGCTTGTTTATCATTCAAGAGGACCAAAACCACTCGTCTACTAATGATAGCTTCAATTCTCCAGGAACGAGAACAAAAAGTACATGTACACGGGATTCTAATACTGTGCGGCATCAGCGCGGATTTGCGGTTGCTTTGGGCCTCATGGAATCAATCTAGACCGGCCAGATGCATGGCTGGCCAGGGAGGAGCCCTTGCACGATGACGTAGCCGCCTCCCGCCTTCACGAACCCCCTGCAGCCATGGACGTAATGGGCGCCATCAGCTCGGGAGCCAGGAGGCTGAAGCGGTCAACTGCAGTTTGTAAGTACCGCTGGGTACCTCCAAGTCTGGATGAGTGCGAGTTGAAAGCCGGTACCCTTACATTAATCATAACCAAAACACCAGGACTTGGGTTCGTCAAATGCTTCTTCGTCTCGGCATGGGAAGGAATCTACAGCTTCAGCATCAACCACCTTGGCCGTATTGCCACTCGCCCTTTATCAATAGCGTCTGGTACCCTTATATACACACAACATGCAATCCTCAATCTGGTGGCAATCGAGGCCATCAACCACCCATTCACCCTCCATCACGCGGCTTTCTTTTCTCCCTCCTCATCTTCCACCTCTTCCTCTTCCCTCTCCTCCCGCCTAGCCAAAATCGCCTCAACTCCCTGCAGCTTTGCAGGAGAGCCCCTCCCCTCCATCTTTTCTCTCAACCTTCCAAGACAGACCTCATGCCATTCGGCCTTTACCCCCAGTATCCCCTGCACGGAGACCTTCTGCACCACATTAGCTTTTTCGCAAGACCCGTCTGGTGCCTGCTGTGGCCGTCCAGCGGCCCAACTGCAGGGCCCCAGTTCGCCCGCTGCGATGGTGGATGCCTGGGTTTCACGCGGGACCCTGGCTGCAAGCACCCGACATGTATGTACTATGTCCGCCAACTCGAAAAGCTTAGTGTCGTCTGCATGTCGGGATATCACTGGGCACTAAGACAACTCGCACAGGTCGCTCATTACAGTACATGCGAATACATGCGAGTGAGTAATAATCGTGCCTCATTTGTGTGAGCACGGCCTTACCACACGCACAGAAGATACGTTTAGATTAACTGCCCCCTCCAGAATGTCCCCGGAGAGAAAAGAGGAGGGGGATGAGATTCATCTTCCAGACCCGGGGTGGAGTTACCTGCTCTCCGCCAGCGGACGGAGGGGTTTCCCCGTTGCCTGTTTCTGAGTGGTGAGAGCGACTAGAGCAGCGACGGCGCGGCCAGCGGCTGGGATTTTGTGCTGTCCAGCTACCAAGCCTGGCCTGGACGCCTTGAAGAAGCCCTGGTGCGGGTTGGTGGTGAGAGCTGATATCGCGCCATTTCCCCCATCCAAGCGCTGCCGCGGACTCGGGCCAGCTCCTGCATCGGTAGCAAGACTGCGACTATTTCCAGGACTTGTATCGAGACGAAGCGGGACTGGCAGGAGACCATCATCTTTTGGCGCCGCGTGCCGAGATGCTCGCGATAGGCGACGTTGACGGTGATGTGATGACAGCGCCACAAACGGCCGATGAGAATTGCTCAGCCAGGTTGCCCGGCTTCTGCGCGAGGCTGCATGCTGCAGCATGCAGTGAGGGAACAGCAGGATGGCAAAAAGATGGAAAAAATCGAACAAGAAAGAAGAGAAGATGGAGAAAAGACGGTCGACCACCCTGCGTCCACGGTATGGAGACGAAATACCTCGAAATGCAACCGCCGTATGGTGTTTTCGCAGGTATTTCTCGTCTCGTTTCGCTCTCAGACACACACACCAGACACCACCGGATCCTTGCTGCTACTGCAGACGACGCACCTCAACCAATCTTCAGGCCTGCATCCCCACCGCACCCACTATGCGGCCCGCTGTGACAAAGGCAGGCAGGCATGGACACAAGACGTCAGTGGGGAGAGGGGCACTGACGTCTTTTGGCGCATGGAGGGGACTGGGTTTGGCTGCTACTGGCGCAGCTCGACGCCTGGTCCTTGTCCTGCTCCCTGTCCTGGGCCATGCGTGCATGCAGCCGCTTAAAAGCTCGACTGGCAAAAACCGGGGGTGACTTGGCCTGACTTGGACTGATTTGGTCTTCGGCCGGTGAGACGCGGAGACGCCCCTTTGCTCTGCTGGACGAATACTGGCACAGGTGAGCCCGAGGGTGCTCGAACTGCATCCGCTTCCTAGGCCCTGCAAAGGAGAAAAGAGGAAACGAAAAGGGCGTGGTCATTCCGTCCTATTATCTGCCCCCCCTCCTTCTAAACCATTGATGGGGAACAATAAACACTGAAGGGTTCAAACAGGGAAACGAGCCAGAAAAATTCTCCATCCTTCTTTGAGTTCCATATCAGCTGCCACAAACCAAAGAATCTTGGCTTGCGTCTTGGGGTGGAATTGAGGCAGAGAGTACGAGTACTATATCCTTTCTTGATATCTACCTTATCTTCTGTTTTTTTTTTTTGACTTGTTTGGGCGAAGATGACTCGAAGTTCGTGTTTGTTCGCCCGCCAGGTTTGCCCACGACGGTTGTGGGCTTACTCCCGGTTGCCACCACCCAGCGTTGCTCCAGCTGAGGGTAAAGGTATGGGAATGGAAACAAAGGGTTCTTGCCATGCAACCACTGAGCACTTGATGCTCAACAAGAGCGCGGACCTGCGTAGCACTACATGTTTACTTGTACGCCTCTGTGGTCCTGGCCCAGGGCTGGCCTGTAATAGAAGCTGACGGATCAAGTGGCTTCCATGGATTGCAATGCTGCTGGGTCAAAGTACCGCCGTGTACCCCGTACTGTGCCAGTAATTGGGCAGTGATCCAGGGCAATCCTCCAGCGGCCACAGGGCCTTACGGCGATTGAGCTCTGGTTGACATGCCCCTCAGTGACTTCAGTTGATGCTCAGCGCCTCAACCCAACTTTGCCCTCGCCATCCCTCAGCATCTCCTCTCTGTGCCGGCCTCGTTGTCCTTCCAGCTGCTTCTCTAATAGACTACCTTCCACTCCCTGCAGCGAACTGGTCTTGTCCCCATCCTCAGCAATAGCCGGAAACCATCACAGTAAGCCCACGTCCGCCAATGTTGCCTGGAACCCCCCAAATCCCCGCCAGACCTCGGAATCGCGGCCATTCGTTCGCTTCCTGTGCTGAGTCGGCCATTTCTGCCACCCGACATGTACAAGTACTCCGTACCGAGAGAGACCCCTCCTCGCTGCTCCCCTCTCGCCTCGCAGCTCATGCGCAGTCCCCTGTCCACATCAGCCAAAAAGCCTCCATCTTATCCATCTATTTTTCTCCTTTTGCTCTTTGCCATCTTTTCCTCTTTCGCTCCCTGCCTTTCTCCCTCTGCTGACCAGCTTCTTCTTCTTCTTACTCTACGCCAGTTAGCCCTACCAGCCATTCACTCGTGCTATCCGAGCCGCCTTCGCCCGAAGATCCTCATTTTGTGCCTCGCTGTCCCGTCTTTGCTGCCTTTGTGGGTCGCGTTTCCTCGACTTTTAGCACCTACTACCTATCGTACTCGTTAATATTAAATCCGTTCACCTCGGACGCTCCTCTGGCCCCCACTTCAGACCAAACCTCGACCCCTCCATCGTGGCCGTCTTCTTCGCTCAGCGGCAGCAGCTGAGGCGCGCAGATTTCGCTCTCTCGACACATCTTTGACAATGGCGCTTCCCGACGACAAGGTGCGTGCTTGCTGCGCTCGCGGACTCAAACTCGGACTCGGACTCGGTAACTAACGCGCATGGCGACCCCTAGGAGCTCGAGTCCATACTCGGCGATGGCGTCGACCTGAATACCTTCAAGCAGATCCTCGAGATGGACGAACCCGGCGACAACGAGTTCAGCACATCCATCGTCTTCGGCTTCTTCGAGCAAGCCGAGGAGACATTCGAGTCCATGGACACGGCCCTGTAGGTTGTTTCCCGTTGCTCTTTACTACACTGCCTTCCCACAGGGTTTTGGTGCCTTGACCTCAAAACCCTCTCCCCGCATCTCCCTCCGCATCCTCGGCATGCAGGTCGATGAGCCTTCCCAACGATCTGCGCCAGCACTAAATGTCTCAGAATCCCCCCCGCCATTGCTTGATGCACCTGCTGACAGATTGTGCTTCCTTGTTCTTTGTAGGAGCGAGAAGGACCTCGACAAACTATCAGAGCTCGGCCACTTCCTGAAAGGCTCCTCCGCGACGCTGGGCCTGATCAAGGTGCGGGATGGCTGCGAAAAAATCCAGAGATACGGCAAGCAGGAGAACCTCGATGGCTCACCGGAGCCGGATACCAACGTGTGCCTAGAGCGCGTCAAGGAGGCGCTCACGGCCGTCAAGTCCGACTACGAGGAAGTTGAGCTTGGGCTCAAGAAATTCTACGACAAGGACGATGAGGAAGAAGAGGGTGCTTAAGCCGTCACGCCCCGAGTTGGACGGTGACAATGCTTTCGAAGGCCACGCGCCCTGCTCTGCCATCATTGCTGGAGCTCAAAGATGCAAGCTGTTACAGTATGAGCCTCATGCTCCTGGCTGCTGTCTGTCTATTCTCGCGCGAGGAGTGCAACGATGCGCATCAACACGTTTGAGGGCTCCGCATGCCAACCTCTCACTCTTTCGCTCTCGCTCTCTCTCTCTCTAACTCTCCAACTCTCCCCAACTCACTATCTGTCTTTCATCGCTTTCATGTATTTTTTATGCCGTCCGCTCGCGACTGCTTTTTACTCATGCCGCCGCTTGGATGTGGTGGCAGCAGCAGCAAGAACCGCAACCCATGCCTGTTGGGTTTCGTCGCATGTGGGTTGGCGCCTAAGACTTTGGCAGGATATAGGGAACGCGCAAGGCTGTATTTTACATTACATGCGCAATCATGGGTTTCTGGCACCTAAGCAATGTGGATTTTCTGTTTGTTTCTGGGAGCTCAAAAAGTCGGTTTACACGGTAAGAGGGGGCCTGCCTGATACAAGGAGGAGGAAGGGTATGATGTATGGGTAAGGTGCGAGTACAGTAGAAGAGGTACCAACACACTCGACAGTGAACTCCATGCCACGATAGCCTGCCGTCGAAGAAGCAATTTTGGCCCAAATCCTGTCCTTTAGGCTCCCCCTTTTGCGCAAAAGAGGTGTCGCCTAGAGCAAGCCACCTGAAGGATGGCCATGCGTCTCTTTTCATCAAGGTATCGACAGCTCACAAATTACGTCGTCTGTGGCACCATCCCAATGCAGCCTGGCGCGATCTGGTGGAGATCTGTGGCTAAAGTCGGCAGGCCTGATCAACGTCCAATGCACGTGGCTGCCTCATTCCCTTCTTTCCTCTACCTTAAGGTGCCTTACCTTTAACCTTGTTCAAAGTATCTATACCACCAGGTCTTAGATATCACTACCTCAACTTGAACTTGCTTCATTCATTCATCTACCTCACCACGGACCTACTACGATTTATCCCTGTCTCTGTTCGACACGCAGCTCTCGCAAAGGTACGTGACGTATTTCAGAAGAAGCATCACAAACTCCCGAGTTACATATCAATGCACACTGGGTCACCACGCCTTCTTCCCTTGCTGCGGTTCAAGATGCTTCAACAGTCCCATTGCGCCACCTTGATCATCCATGCTACCATTGTCGATGCACTCTAGAGGCGACACCGTGCGCCCCATAGCTCAAAATTTCACATCTCAGCTTTTGCAGTCTGTCAGACAACATGCCGCCTGCAGCCCGTGCGTCTTGGCCCAGTGGCTGGGCGTCGTGGCGTTGATTCTGGCCTCAAGCCTGGGGCTCACTGCAGTTGCAGTGTGTTGTACAAAGCACATTGTCCCACCCCGTCTGCTCTGAGAGGGCCGCCGCTTGGATCGAGACGCCCGTTGCTTCGTGTTACACACGGCAGACGGCTATTTGCTGGCGCCTACCATCCATTGGTCTGACTGCCGACATGCTCGAGACATTGGAATATGATGCCGGGATGACGCTGCCCGCTGCCATCACCCTTCATGGCCATAAGATGGAGCCTGTCAAGCACTGGCATGGTCCGGCATGGCCTGTTTCACTTGCTGTTCGTGACTCACCTACCTTCTGAATCCTGACGTTTGTCTACCGACTGAGAGTTTCGCATTCTCACACTGTCTCATCGGCCCATATTAGGCGCAAGAGGATTATCATATATGACAGCTCCTTACAAGTGATTCTCGCAGATACTACTGCCTTCTACAGCGGCCCGCTTCGACCTGCACCTCGCTCGCATCAAACCGGCTGCCTGCAAGCATGCCTCCGAAACTTACCCCAACACACTTCCTCTGCATACCCCTCGCTGGGGCGCAGCTAGCCACGGCTCTTGCGGCGTTCCGGGCCGATGTAACCAGCGCCATGAGCTTCGGTCTGCCGGACGATGCAGTTCGGCCTCTGGGGACACTGCACTTGACGCTGGGGGTCATGGCCCTGAAGAGGGACGGCGTAGAGCAGGCAGCGGATATACTCAGGGGCCTGAGGCTGAGAGACATACTCGCCGAGACGAGGTTGGCCAAGGCTGCAAATACATCTCCCTCTGCATTGGCCTTATCAGGCGGCAGCAATGTCGGTAGCGAGTCGCCGAGATCTGACGGCCTGACCCTGACCATGCGAGGGCTTCATTCAATCCAACCGCCAGCAAAGGCAGCTGTCTTATACGCATCTCCCTCGGAGCCAGAGGGCATCTTATATGATTTCTGCAAACGGCTGCAGAGACCATTCCAAGAAGCTGGGCTGATGATTGATGAGAACCGCCCGCTGTTGCTTCACGCCACCATCATCAACACCATATATGTCAAGAGCAATAGTGGCAGCGGAGGAAGAGGGAAGAGACGGGAAAGGCTGACAATTGATGCCCGCAGTCTCTTGAGTAGGTACGACGACTATCTCTGGGCCGACAAGATGCCCATCACTCGTGTGGCGCTGTGCAGGATGGGCGCCAAACCCATTCCAGGGACAGACGACGCGGCATACGAAGTCGAGGCGGAGGTTGCGTTTTGAGCCTTGATGTCCCTTAGCATCAGCATTTGACGGCGCATACGGAATACTACTTATCAGTGAAAATCTGACATGACGCTCCATCAGTGGCGCGTGTGCTATACTTTGCAAGCAGTTGTTTCCACAGCTTTGAAATCACCTCCACCCGAATGATTCGGCCACAGTTGCTTTTTGGGCCGATTCCTATAACTACAAGTTCAGGCATGGTTGTGACGCCTCGTCAGTCGTCCAACGCTGCTGAACGCACGGTGAATGGGTATTCGAACTTGTACCATGACCTTGCTGTTGTGCAAGTACCGGAGCTCCAAAAAAGCCACCCCCGCGCCGTCTCCGGAATCGCTTCCCGGATTCACCCCCGGCCTGTTATTTCCTGCCCCTCAATCCCACCGACCGGCAGATTTGCGGCACTGCCTGCTTGTCCCAGCTGCAACTACCCTCGCATCTCACGGGCTTCCAGGCAGCCACCAAAGAACAACCCAGCACGTCCTGCCCTGGCCTCTTCGCTGTTATTTCTGGAAGAGTGGGCAGATCAGGGAGAAGGACCGGGCCCGTCATTTCTCGTCGCTTGGCGAGGGCAGGAGGCAAAATAAAAGTTGCCAGAGTGGCCCGCCGCACGCATCAGCCAACATGCCGAGCCAGCGTCGCCTGGCCCTCCACCTCGGCATCACCTCAGCGACTTGAATGAACGGATTCACAGCGACTTCAGTACCGCGAATTCGATCCGCTCTCGACTTCGAGAAGATGAATCCATCTGAAAAACGCCGCGGGGGCGGACGCAGCAACAGCACCGGGCCCGGCTGGCGAACGGGACAAGCAGCGCATACGAATCGCCATGGTAGCAGTGCGGCTGGCAGTGGTGGAGGAGGGGGAGGGGAGGAGGAGGAGGAGGGGCGAACACAGCAACCAACGGTGCAGGAGGCAACAACTCGGACAACTTGCCCGTGATGCCGCCGCGCGCAGCCATGACCGGAACGAGCTCAACGGGCGCAGACGATTCTCATAATGCGGGCGGAACGCTCCTGGAGCGAAAACGAAAAGAAAAGGGACAAGGCAAAGACGGCGTGCCCGGCAGTAATAACAGCTCCGGCACGGCCAGGGGCTCCAGTCCTCACGGCAGCAACCCCAGCGGCAGCCCCGTCTCCAAGCAGCATCGCCGCCAGCAACACTCCGAGGCCGCCGCGACCGCCCACCTGCTGCGCGAAAAGGACGAGCGGATAGCGTACCTCGAGGACGAAATGGCCATCATGGAGCGCGAGTTCCACCGGGAGCTCGACAAGCTGAGCCAGGCGGAGAGCGAGACGGCGACGTTTTGGCAGGGCAAGCACAGCGCGTTGAACCAGCAGTACCTCCGGACGGACACGGAGCTGCGGCTGCTGCGGGCCGAGGTGGACGTGCGCGAGGCGGAGCGCGAGGAGCTGCGGCAGGGCGTCGAGGTGCTCCGGCGGGAGCTGCAGGAGAAGGACGACGAGATCCGGCGGCTGAGGGGCCAGGTCAGGGGCCTCAAGGACTTTGTGAGCACGAGCACGCGGACCGACGACCAGACGAGCGACGAGGTGTTTGGCGACGGCATGACCAAGCTGGGCAATGGGCTGCAGAACTGGGTTATAACCAATTTCCGAAAGGCAAAGCTGGGTGAGTGAATTTGATGGAGGAACAGAAGAATGTTGGGGGAGAATGGGGCATGGTTTCGGTTGGGACTGACAAGCAGCAGACCTGTCCAAGGCCAGCGACGACACGCTTGCAGAGCTCGGCCAGCTCGTGCCCATGTACGAGGAGCTCATCCACACGTCCAAAGTCCACCTCCTCCAGTCCATCGTGTCGAGCATCCTCGTCGACATGGTCTTCAACGCCTACTACGTCGGTCTATCGGAGCAGGATACCCAGCACATCCAACAGATGGAGCGGCTCCTCTCGTCTCTCTGCTGTACGTCCACATTAACCCCTCCCCCCCAACCGAACCCCCCTCTTGCCTAATGTTTAAATAAAAAAGAGAAGAAGAAGACACCCTCCTTTTGTCAGCCCAGGACTAATCTGAATGAAAAACAGCCTCAACCGACGTCGTGAACCAATGGCGCTCGTCGACCCTTGCCCTCCTCCGCCGCGAGGCGCACCACCTCCACGACAACACAGACGCCTTTGCCGAGGCCGTCATGGCCCGCATCACGCACCTCCTCGACAGCATCATCACCGCTTCTCCACCACCATCATCATCATCATCATCAACAATAGCATCAACATCCGCACCAACGTCATCGACGGCGTCATCATCCTCGTCAGCCGCCGCAGCCGCACCCGCAGCCAGCAGCTCAGCAACAACCTCAACCTCAACCGCCCGAGACTCGGCCCTCCGCGTGCTCGTCAAAAACTCGATTGAGCTCGCGCGCCTGCTCGTCGTGCAAAAGGCCCGGCTGCGGGTCTACATGCCTGCCATCCTGCCGCACCAGCAGGTCCTCTTCGAGCCGGACACCATGGAGGACATGGGCGGGGAGGAGGACGAGGACGACAACCTGGCCAGCCGCGAGATCAGCTGCGTCGTCTTCCCGGGCGTCATCAAGCACGGGGACGAGAATGGGGGCCACATGCAGTATCGCAACGTCATTGTCAAGGCGAGGGTCTTGTGTAGCCCAGAAGAATAGGACAAAAGGACAAAGAAGAAGTGGAAGAGGAAGAGAAAAAACGCCTAATAAGCGAGCAGCTGGCCCTGTTGGTGCGTTGTCTACAAAGTTACAATCGGCGAAATAGGGCGCTTACAAGTCCGAAAACAACACGCCATGATAGACGTATAGAAGAAACAAAGAAGCAAAGAAAAAAAACAAATGATCCTGGTGTTTTCTGCGTTTCCTGCACCATTACGTCGTCAAGACAAGGCATCACCTCCCTCCGTGTCCCCGTACCGTTAAGCTACCCAGGACTAGGCGGCAGCCGGGAGACGGGCCGCCCACGCCGGTTGACGCCGACCCGCCACCATCTTGTGCCCTCCCACCAACCAACCTCACGCCATCCGAGCGTTTGCCAGTAATAACTCGTACTCTAATACTCCAACCGCCAGTAATGGGCATGTCTGTCTCACTCACCCACACACTCTCTCTCTTTCTCTCTCGGGGACTGGCGCAGTTTTGTCTTGATGCCCAATGTCCCCCGTCTCTCACGCCCATCCACGTGTCCGGGGTAGTGTCTCTCCGTAAAGAAGGCAAAGCGGAAAGAGGGAGAAGCGGAAAAAAAAGAGATGTGTGGGAGATCCCAACCATAGAGGAAGCTCAGGCCCTTCCAGTCACGGAAGCCTTGAGCAATGCGAGCAATCGAATCCGCACAAAATCTTCCGCGACGTCACCTCAAAACGGGCTGGTAGCACGACCCTTTCTCGTTTGTGCCTCGCCGGAGCCTCTGACCCATGTCTCTTCCCTTGTCCCTTTGCTGTCCACTGCTTTTTTTTTTCGCCACCCCCAAACGCCAAAACTCCCATCAATCTATATCTCGTGGTCACGGGAGACGTTTATTGTAGATTTTGAAGTCATCCGACACCTGCAAAGGCGTCATACAGCAGGCAATTGCACCGAGGTCCATGAACCTCGGTTTGATTGATAAGAAAATAGGCCGGAATGGTCGTGCGGGAATGACGATGCCTCTCAGATCTGAGTGCTTCAACGGTCAAGCACTAGTAATCACGGCCGGCAACATGGCTGCTACCCCGTACACTCATCTCGTCGGGCCGTGCAGATGGAGGTGCGCAGGGTGCCAAGTAGGAAGAATTCACTGCAACTATACCACGTGTGAGCGTCCCCAACTGCCTTTGCCGCAGTTGTCATCTTGCGATTGCCAAATGCGTGTCACCGGAAAGGCACCAGGTCCATGCTTAAAGTAAGGACAAGGGAACTCGAGCGTCCTGAGTGCTAGCCTCAAAGTAGAGGGATCAGCAACTTCAGGCTTCGACGCAGAGGGTCTGTCCCCCGTGGGACACCGCAGATGCTCCGTGCTTCGGATCAGACAACGGCCCTGTTGCTGCTTGCGTGCTCGCTGCCGTCCCTTACTACCACTATCTCGCAGCTCCGGGTCTTGGATAGGCGGGGTCTGGCGAGGACAGCGGGGTTCTCCACCAAGGCCAAAGAGCCGCAGAATTCGAGCTGAAGTCTCCCCGCTGTTTGCTTTTTCTGTTCCTCTCTGCTCTGGCGGTAGAGCTCTTGGCACGGTTCGAGCAACTGGGAAGTGCCGTTACTCAGGGTTCACACCTTCTTGCCGCGATACCATGCCAGCGCCGCGAGAATCGTGCAAAGGGGCCAAAATGCAAGCCCACGGCCATTGTGTGCTCCTACTCCCGCCCGATGATTTTGCCTGTCAGAACAATGCGGCACGTTGGCGTGAGTGCCAAGGGACCCCGTGTATCACAGTGGCTCGGCCACAACATACTTCGTACACAGCTGTTGATAAAAAGTCGTAATTGCTTAGCAACCACTAGACGTATATCGGTGAAAAGCTACCACATTATTCGTCGACGGTGTATGACGCGGCCCTCGTTGAATGCCACGACCCTCGTTGAATGCCACGACTCTGCCTTGGTCTATCTGAAGACGGCCGAAAGGGAAGGCATAGGAGTGAGGGGGGCGTTGGATCGGACATGTCAAATTGCTAAGCTTGACGGCTTGTCACGGTTCCGAGAGGGCCATCATTGCCCTTGGATTCTTCGATGGCAGCATGTAAGTAACGTTGATGCTGATTGCTTAGAGCCACCATGTCGGCCAGCTTTTTGACACGCATTTCTTGGGGTGTGTGTATGCAAGCCGAGTCCGATGACCGCGGTACGTGCTCGTATCCCGTCCCTATCGTATGAATGGCGGAGACTTCTTTCTCTCAGACCGTTTCTCGTGTGCACCCATTTTGGTTTCGTCGAATTATATCAAGCTCTGCGTTCGTGCCCGATAGGTTGTCCTGTTACATTTCAGTACTCTCTCATCACCTACACAGCTAGTGGAGTCCAGTCAGAAACCCCATCTGTTCTCACAAGTCGAGAGAACCCAAACCCAACCTGGACTTTCTTCCGTTTTCCCTATTTATACCACCAAAGGAGACGGACGCAGTAAGGCGAGAGGGAAGAGAGGACGACTTTTTTCCAACCCATCCTGACTCTCTTCAATCCTTGTGCCTTCTTCGCGAGCGGACGGAACCACTGCCGTTATAGTGCCAGAAACGCATTCGCATCGACCCTTTGGGGCTCCAGCTGCAAGAGCGTCAACTTCCCGTGGTCATCCTTTCGAGTATTTCCGACAGAGATTCGGTTATCGCCGCCATTTTCGAGGTAGTCGAGTGCGAAAGCTCGCTGGCCTTAGAATCCTAGCGAAACGCAACCTCTAGAGAATATATCCCAAGGCGGTCCCATCCCCGCGGCGTCCCAAGAGACTAAGGATAAACAACTTCGAGGAGCGACCAGGGGCTCTTCGGATGGCGGCATCAGGGCAGGAGCCTTTGACGGAGGACGTATATGGATTCTTGCAGGAACACCAGGAGAAAAAGGTCCGGTCCACGGCGGTAGGAAGCTCCGAATACACTCACTTGGATCTCCTTCCCAAAGCGCAGCGGTATGCCTTCACATTGTCCGAAGATTCCCGCAGCCACCCCTCGGAGACGCATGTTTCGTCCGTCGTCAGTGGTGAAACCCGGCGTTCCTCTATCTTCGACCAGCCTGGATACTCTTCGTCCACGTCGTCGGTACTACCAGGGTACGTCCTCATTGCGTTCTGATTTTGTTGCTTTTCTGGGCCACCATAGCTGACAAGATCCATCCCTGTATCATCGTGTAGTCGACAACGGCGGCTCCCATGCGAATTCTATTGGTATGGCGATTGCGAGGAGACTTTCGACCTCCACGATATCGACGGCTGGGTACGCCATGTGGCCGACCGCCATCTCGATATGATGTTGCCAGCGAACTGCAAGTGCTGGTTCTGCGATGACTGGGTGTTCCGCGCCGAGCCCGACACCGTCCAAGAACGCCAGCTCTGCTATACAGATCGGATGCATCACATCGCAGACCACTATCGTCATGGTGCGAGAACCATTGACGTTCGCCCAGACTTTGACTTTCTCGACCATCTCTGGGAACACGACTTGATAAGCAGAGGAGACTTTCAATACATAAAAGATTTTCATGAAGCGCCTCAGCCAAGGCATGGCATCAATCCTATGCCCGCAGCACCAGGTTCACGCTCGTCAGCGGCAGTGGCAGTGGCAGTCGAGGTGAGGCCACGCCATCGAGGCCGCCGCGAGTCTCGCCGGAGCTATTACTCATGAATCCCGGTGCAAGGCTATGATGCCTTGTTGGAGAGTCGCGGTTGAACAAGCGGAAATGGCAGTCATGATGTTTAACATGGCATGTCTGCCAGTTCGGTTTGTCGTATCAAGCTTGTGTGTCCAGTAGCGCGACGCTGGACAGCCTTGTTCCTGCAGATCCGGGGACTTGTGTCGTGATAATGATACGATCAGCAGGCCGATCGTGGTCACCCTTTTATGTTTCTTCGGCGGGCCGGCCATCGCTGCATGGTGGAGGAAGCATTGTATGTTTTTTGAGGATTCACCCTACTCCATCGACGTTCTTTTTCTCTTCCGTTGTTTGTCTGGTTTCACTTGCTTGCTTTCCGCGGCTGTTTATGTGGATGCGGCACATGTCCCCTGGCGGGTTTGAACATTGTCTTGTTTCTTGTTGTTGGATATCGGCCTTGGGAAATACCTCTGGTTATCGTTATGATGCGCGTTTGGATCGGTATTGGGTCTTGACCAAGAGGGAGCAGGCGTCTTGTCCTCGATATCGCACGATTGCAGACATCGATCGTACACGTTTTAACGACGTTCTGGATAGTTGAAGGCTTGGGATGCAAGGTTCCAGGTCTCAGACTCACGGTCAATGAAAAGTTGAATTTTGATGAGTGAAGTGAGGATGAAAGAAAAGGAGAAGAGGTTCTTGCCACCGTGAATTTCGCCTTCCACGCGTCGTCGTCGTGTCCCATCTTTCGGAAGGCGACAGCCAGTCAAATCGGGCAACGCCTTCCAATATAATTCCATATCCGTGATAAGGTAACGTATATCAAACAAGGAAGTCACGATGAGCATCGTACCTGACTCGTCTCCGTTATCAACGGTTTCCTCTTCAGGTAATTTTCCTCGGTCCAGTAAGTGCAAACTGAAGACGACGGTGGTACATGCCTTTGACTGCGTGACAACAGAGTACTAACATGTACCTTGACTGGCAACATGAAGAGTTTTTTGTTTCTTGCTTCTTTCTCTTAGTAAGGTAAGGTGTAGTTGCCTAGAATTATGATTCATGGCTCTGCATAAAGCTTTATATCTCGCCTTTTTTTTTTCTCCCGTTTAGGTAGCAACATGTGGCCGCTTGAGCTTGAGCCCAACCACGATATCGGCTGTTCCACGATCTCTGACCAAATCATATCATCGTTGGGCTATTCTCATGTCGTACCGAGTCCCACCGGTGAAGAACTATACATGGTACGGCTCGTCAGAGAAGAGATTTGATGACACGATGTCAAGTATGCTTCGTTGTCAAGAGGTAAATTGTGCGTATGGAAGGACTACAAAGTAGTAGGTGGACGGTGTTGAGGGAGGCTGTGCTGCATATACCCAGTTTGTGGCAAACGAGAGCCTATCAAAAGAAGGCCGCTGATGACTAGAGCCAAGCAGGCTCACCCCTGAATACCGGGCCTCTGTCTGCTCCGTAGTCACGCGGACTCATCGGTATATACGGAGTATGCAAGTAATACTAATATGATATGCTGCGTAAGATATTGTTACTGTGTCTATCACCATAGTGGGCTGCTCAACGAAGCGTCCCAGATTGATTGGCTCTTTGGTGCATCTGCGTTTCAACTTGAAAGGCGATGGGGGCCGACTGCCGATGCGGCAGGACTCCCATCCATCATTGACATGCCGAGGCTTTCCATGTGCCAGAAGCTTGTCTTGACTGGCTCTTCCGCGCTCGCTTGGCCTGCATTATGCTCTGCTTCCCGACCGGGGGGCTAGCACGGCCCAAGAGCGGCATTCTGCTTTCTTTCTTCTTGCGCGATGCGAGCAAGGAAACGTCTATATTCTTATATCTTGCCTCATACTTGACCCATCTCTCCAGGCCGGGAACGTGGATTCCCAGCGTCGGCAGTGCCAGCAGTGTCAGGATAGGTTCCGCGTCTTGATCCCGAGCAGACTCCTCAACACTGTACAGGCCCGGCAACGTATACCGCACTTTTCCGGGAGTATAGTGCTTGAGGATCTTCTCCAGGTTGGCGCGCTCTCTCGGGGGCACGGCCATGCGGAACGGCTTCGCGGAAGATGGGAGAAAGGGAAGCACATGGAACTTTGCTGCAACACAAGCGCTGACCCGTATCCAGAAGCGTCCATCCCAGAGTTTGGCGGTTTTCCACCCGCGCCAGTGACGGTGGCGACTGGGCTGGTCGCCATCGCCGTCCAACTTGAGTATGCCTCCTCGATAACTCAGATACCCAGGCAATTTCCGCTCCGGCAGCGGTTGCCTCGAAGAATACGGTGCCCTGGACAGAAGCCACGAGGCCGAATTCATCTTGGGCACAGGCTCGAAGAGTACACCTGCGATCGAAAAAGCCTTTGGCTGGGCTACTGGTACGGTGTCGGATTCCCGTGACAGCTCTGGAAACAGCCGATCGACAACATTTTCCAGGTTGGCCAAAGGCGGCAGATGAAGCTCAGGGGTTACAAAGGCAATGAGCTTTCGAAGTGCCAGGGCAGCCATCAGCCGACGAGAGCGTCTGCGAGCTTCCTCCCTAGCCTGGGAGAAGGGGCGCCTCATCTGCAGGAGCGATGGGCGCCAGAGCGTTGATACGTCAATGAGTAAAGTGCCTGCGTTTGGATCAAAGTCCTTGATGACGCTTTCGCGCACCAGCAGTCGATGGGCTTCAGCTTCTTCCAGCCGAACTCTCCGTTTCGACCGCTGAGCCAGCGCCAGGATAGACGGCTTCTGCAGCGCTTTGGGCAGCGTGTGCCCCCGAGTGAGCTGCCGGATAGCATTGCGGGTGGTGAGGGTCGGATCGGTGTTGGTGCTATCCTCGAACCATTGGACGCCGTTGGCCTCGCACGTCGCAATGAGTCTGGCTTTGTCAAATTCCAGAAGAGGCCGGTAGATGGTGACGCCGCCATCTTCGCTCTGTAGAGGGGTGAGATATGGCACATTGGGGTCAAAATCCCGGGAGAGGTGGCCAGGAAAGCTCATGGACGCGTGATCTGAGCTGAGATACGACCTGATCTGATCCCATGGCTCTGCTTCCTTGTCGTCCCTCAGAATGTTGCGCAACCGCCTCATCTCCCGCCCCGGCGGCTTGAAGCTGAGAAAAGGGCGCTTCTGCATCTGATCATCTATAAGGCCGCTCTTGTAGACGCCGTGCAGTTCGTAACACTCTGGAATGGCATTGGCCTCCCGTATGCCCCGGAGTCCTCGGTATCCATGGCCGGCGAGCAGCCGCATCAGGACTGTTTCGTACTGGTCGTCCTGATGGTGGGCAAAGAAGAGGCTTGAGGACTGCAGATACAGGCAGGTCGATCCCAGGGCCTGGTAGCGCATGGTGCGTGCAACGCTCTCGATATTAGGCAGGGTGCTTGGCTCAATGCCATTCCACTTGAGCTCCCTCCAGTTGAGGGTCTTGATGATGGCCTTGAGGCCAAGCCGCTTCAGCTCCTGGGTGACGCGGGAAGCTTCCTGAGTGCTCTCTTCTCGCAGCTTGTGATCGACGACAACGCCAAAGGCAGTCTCGGTAGGGTAGTCGGCTATCTTGATGCCCCTGTATACCCTGACGAGGCGAGAAAAGAGATATGCCATGGCCATGGAGTCCACGCCTCCGCTGATGGCCAGGGCTGCGTAGAGACACCGAGGTTAGCCGTTGCACGTCCAGGATCTCATCGGTGGCTCAGACTTGCCTATTCGCTGCGGCCGGGCGTAGTACGCCGTAGGGAAGCGCGGCCGACACACTGCCAGGACGGCATCGCGGAACTCTTGGACGGAGATGGGCTTGGAGGCATGATGGAAGGCCAGCGCCTGCGTGCTCATTCCACCGGAAATGAGGCCACGGTATCACGAGCCGAGACACGATCAGGGAGAGTCCATGCAGGTCTGAGCTGAGATTCAATCAAGCAATTGCTCTGCTTCTGTCTGTAGCTTATGTGAAAAAGACCGAAACACGAAGCAAAAAGAAGCTTCGATAGTACCTTTTGGAGCTTAAAATCCAGGGTTGCATTGGTGCAACAAGGGCCGCGAGTAGCTGCAGCCGGGGGTTCCTTATCGGTGCCACAAAGAGCCGCTGTTGTGCCGGCGAGTGGCGCTGGAACGCCCTAAACAGTGCACCTTTCAGTCCCGGGCTTTCAGGGGCCGTGCACTAAAGCCGCGATGCGTCAGGCGAGGCCGTCACAAGCAGTTCGCGGCATCCAATCGGCTCGTGGGTGTGCGGGCGCCGTCAGGCACATGTTTCTGCTTGAGAAGAGGGAATGGAAGAGGCTGGTGGGAGCACTTGATGCGAGACCGTAAGGATATGCTATGCGGTGGAGGGATTATTCACCCATGGCGAGCTGCCTCCCAGAAATCCGGAGGGTCCAGTGGCTCGCCATCCATCACCGCCTTCTGACGATAAGGCACGATACGATTCGACTGCAGCGATGGCATCAACCCCCAAGAAGCTTCATCCGTCTTCACCTCACATGCAAGCAGTTGGACAGCCAAGCGTCGACCATCCCCTGCTCAGTGCGTCCGGGGCCGCTGCAGGCGCTGATTTGCCCGTTGCCACCCGCATCACAGGCCACCGGTTTAGCGGTTGAGCCTGCATGGGCGAGGCTAACTGCAGGTTCAATCACGTCCAGTCCAATCTCACCAGACGGCGAGCGGTTGGCGGTGGCCCACCGAGTCTGCCTTCAGCTGCATCAACTTGTTTTTTTCTCTTCAATTTTCTCTTTTGTTTCTTCTTCTTTTCCCTCTCTCCCCGACTGCCCTTCTCTCTCTCTCTCCTTAGCTGATCCGTCACGTCTCGCGCAGGAATCGCAGAGTCCGTCAGTCTCTCTCTCTGTCTACCTGATCGGGGAATTGCCTCTCTCACTCTCTTCTTCCCCCACTCCCTCCCACCACCACCACCACCACTTCTGCAACATACAAGGGCTGGCTGGCTGGCTCGCCTTTTTCCTTGCTCATGCAGCTGCGCCGGTTGCCGCCAACCCAAGCTGACTCGCAAGACTCGAGTTGAGAAAAAAATAAACAACCAAAACAGAACCGAGCCAAAAACAACGCGCAATCTGAGTGAAACCGCCATCAACCCCGAATCTCCCTCCTCGCCGTCCGCATCCTCACCTTCACCCTCTCTCTCGCCCTCATCATCCCCATGGTCTCTCAACCAGAACCCCCTCCGTCTCTCGCAATCCGCGGCACCTCGTCCCTCGTCTCCCGCCCGTCCGCCCGCAGCAAGCGCTACAACCGCTCCCACGTCGGCGGCACCAGCTCCTATCTGCCGCAGAATGAATTCCCCGTCTTCTCCCACAGCGGCGACGTCGAGATCCTCATCCGCGCAGGGCCCGTCGAGAACCGCTACCTGCTGCACCGCCACACGCTGACCCGATGCAGCGGCTTCTTCGAGGCCAGCACCTCGTCCGAGTGGTCGCGCGCCCAGCCGATGCTGCCAAGCGGTCACGAGCTGTCGAGGATCGGTGAGGACGGCCCGGCATCGTCTGGCGCCGACGGGGATGCCAGTGGGCAGGGTGGCGGCACGACGGCGCCGACGCGGAAATGGCGATACGAGCTGGACTCGGGCTCGGGCAACAACGACATCCCCATGCTGGTGCAGCGGGAGGAGCCCCGAGCCGACGCGCGCTCCCTCGGTTCGTCGCTCTTCGGGCCCGGCCCCAAGACGTCGTCGTCGTCGTCGCGCTCCTCGCACTCGCAGTCGAACCACCACAAGAGCAGCAGCTACTCGCACCCGTCCAA